ATAGTTATATTGTCTTTGTCTTAATATTTTCACAACTGACATTTATAAATGGGAAGAAAGGAGCTAAAGGCGTAGGGAAGGTGGGACGGGTAGGGGAAGGGTAATAAGGGAAAAGAAAACAATGTGAGATAATGAAAAGGTGAAAATAAAGTGTTTGTAGATGGGGAGGGGAGGAGGGGGTGAAGGGAGGGCAGGGACAAGGAGAAAAAATGAGGATCAAGACTTGTCATGTAGAGGTACAAGATCCCAACAATGAATGTAACTGTACTGTATCCCTAAAATGTACCAATAAACTCAATTAAAGCTGAAAAAAAATATTTTCACAACTAGTCAGAAATCCTAAGACAATTGGGAAAGTTTCCTCCCTTGCAACAGTAATAATGTGCCTATCTATGCAGCTTATTATCAACTGAACGATTTTATTAATGCCTGTTCTTTCTGTGCTTATATTTCCATGAAATTGTACTATTATTTCATTATTTCCCAAATGAAAAAAACATATACAAAATTTTAACTACTTGGCTCAATGCCACATATCTTTATAGAATGATGTCCAAATCAAAAGTTCAATTGCCATGCAACAGAGCTCAGTGTTCTTAAGTTTATTTTGCATAAAGAAATAAAGGAATTGCCTGATTTCTTACTTTAGTATTGGAGATCTTCATTAGCAGTGACAGAAATAAGATAGAATATTAATGTATACAAAATACTTTATAGAAATGACTTCCACTGGATATGAAAAGCCATTGCAGTGATTATGACATTACATACTGTTTGCTTGCGTTAAAAGGATACAGTTCCAAAAATATTGAAACAAGTAATGAAGGAAGGAACACAGACAAAAGGAGATAGAGACAGAAAGGGTGGAGGAAACATAAAAGAACCAATAAAAGAAACAATGCAGCAGCAGGAGGACAGAGTAGACTGGATTAGTCAGAAAAGGACTGAGTTAAGGACCCACTACACTTTCAAGATTCAGAAGTGCATAGTGCCCTGGCAAATGAGGTCTTATACACAGAAATGATTCCCGAAGTAATAACGGTGGCTAAGAGAAGTCCCATTTGCCCATAAATTGTAAAAATATTCAGTAAAACTTCCTCTACCCTTGTTTTCAAATCCAGTTAATCTACAAAATCATAATTTCCTGTGAGCCTTTCCCGGGTCTGAATTCACATTCATTCACATAACCTAAACTCCACAGACAAGTCCCTTCCCAGGGTGCATGGAACCCGTGAAATTGCTCACTTCTTGCAAAGTGTGGAAGCAAGATGAAAGCACTGCGAGCACGGAGGAGTCTCAGCTAACCACAGTTAAAGTAAACCACAGTTAAAGCCGCACAAGAGCAGAGATGACAGCCAGTGAACCTGTAACTGGAACAAGTTATATTAACTCTCCAAGTCTCCTCTGTTCCTCACTATCAAACGTGTGAGAATAACTAATATGATCAACTTGTTCAAATACACATATTCCTGGTAGTGTTTGCCTAAAGGCATCAAAAGTAATCTGAGTAAGCATTTTAGCTGAGAGGGTAGACAACATGCATGCATTTTGTAGGAATTTGCACTTGGAAGATGGAAGTCATGCAAAGTAATTGGCATCACACAGAAATACACATCCACACACACGCAACCACCCACCCACTGGCATACAGAATCAGGTACATGGAATCCTACAACAGGGTCATCCGTGGAGTCACTGCAGATTAAGAAATAATCATAAAATTGAGAATGAAACAACAGCACTTATTTAAACAAAATGAATGTTAAGAAAATAGAATGAGTAAAGTATAAAGTAATTACAGAGCACTACCAAGCAATCTGACATGAGGCAGTAATGGGACAGGAAACATGCGAGGGTATACATGTTAATGCTTTTTTAACAATAAGAAATCTATGAAGCCACTGGCTCAGCAGTTCAAAAGATCCCGGGAAGGGCAAAGCTGAAGGACGCTTGAGGCTATGCAGAGACAGAAGTGACAAATGTGAAACAGCAAAATGAAATGTGGCATTGTACATTTTTAGTTTAATTACTTCAAAACTAAAAGACTTCAGGAAAATTACACTATTGCATTAGGAATTCAAGCCACTTATAAAAATAATATTTATGAGAAAAATAAAAAGAATTAGGGAAAATGGATCCATATTATTCAAGCGGTCTGTTATTGCTCCTTGTTTAATAAGTGCTGGATATGTAGCTTTAATGGTACAGTGCTTGCCTCTTATTCATGACATGGATTCAATTCCTAGTATCAAAAAATAAAAGATATATGTGTGTGTGTGTATTTTTGATAGATATTATTATAATATCGGTTTCAAAACAAAGAACATTGCTATTTGGAGAATAATAAATATAATATCAAGAATAAAATAAAGATATCTCCAAGTCCTCACAAAAATTAAAATGGAAAGTAAAATATATTATACAAATATTCTGCTAATGAATTTGATGATTAAAAAGTAATGTTCTTTAAAGGTGCATTAGAAGACATAAGTAATATGAGTAATACTATCTATTCATTGAGGTATATCATGAAAAGCATTGATATCAATACAATCTGCACAGTGGTTTTTCCCTTGTGAAACAAATCCTCACCTGTGCTTCACACTGAATATTGGCTGACCTCCCTCTGATGATGTGGAAGAAGGTAACAGAGCCAAAGACAGGAGAGCCTGAGCACCGAGTTACCTGCCCAAAACAGTCAACCCTTGGATGTGAGGGAGAACTGGCTGCGACATCGATCGCTCCATGGATCTCCAGGGTTGATTGGGATGATCTGGCTGGCTAGGCGGGTGTCCCCTTCCTGCCTCACCGCTCCATGTGTGTCCCTCCCGAAGCTGAGCTCTCGGTCTAAGCCGATGGCCCCAAACACAGGAGGACGGTTTCCTCGGTCAGGCACACAAAGTAGCTGCGCTCCCCTGCTAGAACCTCCAAACAAGCTCTCAAAAACAGCCAACCCAAAAGTAATCTGAGCGACGGTGAGGATGAAACACCATAAATTCAAGTGATAGCCATGGACACTGTTTTGTGTTGAGCGAGTCTGTTCCTTAATGTTTCATCACACTAGGAAAACTGTTTCCTTATATGATTTCCCTGCCGTCATCATCCAGCATCTGATGTTATTCTTTACTTTACCAAGTTCATTTTCTGCATCTAAGTTTATTCTTGTGTCTTTGAAGCTTTAGCCCCCAATGCCTAGCACAGTGTCTTCCATTAGAAACTGTACAAAACATTGAACAATGCACACGCTTCAAGGACATCTGTTTTAGTAAAGTATGATAGCAGTGCTGCAGTCTAGCCATTAATCACTGGGAAGCAAAACCAGGTGTCCATAGTTTGCTCTGCTGCACTGTGCTCTTTACACAATTATATTTATGTTCTGTGGGACACTGACCTGGCACCGTGAACGAGGGCATGAGATCTCACATTATTTCAGAGAAACAACTTCCATTCTATGAGCTATGTAGTGATAGAAGATGTAAATGATTGGGTAAATGCAAATAGTTTAAATGTTTCTTAGGGCCAAGAGATTACATTCTGCATATTTAATAGCATGATATAAATGTTTCATACCTTTTGTAATAAATAAAATAAAATGCTAATATAAAAATTAATATTAAATATTAACATTTAGGTATTTTTTCAAATTTAAAATTGCTTTCCAAGTCAGAGATTCAATGGACAAATTTTCAAACAAAAATCAATAGTATAATGTTTCTAATTCATACAAATACATGGCAATAAATTTAAGAAAAAAACTCATCTTATGAATGTATGAAAGCACTTGGAATAACAGTCTGAATGGGCGGGGGATTTAGCTCAGTGGTTCTGCCGCCTGCCTTGCAAGCACAAGGACCCAAGTTCAATCCCCGGTAACAAAAAAAAAAAAAGAATAAACTATCTGAAAATTGTTCCTATAGTGAAAACGTTAATCTTACATGATACAATTAAGCAGATGATTGGATATATAACTTGAAAGTAAACACCAAATATACAAGAAATTAAAGAAAAATTATATTAAATATATAGACATATCTTCAAAACCACTGATCTAGAAGAACATACATAGGACCGTCAATAGTTATACAACATTTTTCTTTTCTCTAGTAAATGTCATTTTCCAAATTGTCTTCAATATTAGGACATATTACTTTCCTATAACATCATTCAAATTCAATACTTAGCTTTATTCTGAATCCAAATTTGGGATCTCCTGACTTCTGTTTTTTTCCTTTTCAGGTGTTATGTTTATATATTAAATTAACAAAAAAATTCATAAAGCATGAAGATATGTTATTTAAAAATGTATTATATATGAAATATCATAGTAATGCAAGGGATCTGATGATAGACAGTGTTCACTGTTACTGCCCTCAATGTTTGACAACCACCATTTGACCAGATGGCCATGGAATTATCAAATATCTTGCACATGTGAAGACAGTGACTGTTAACAATTGCAGTGAATTAATGTGGGCTACACTTTAGAGAGGTGCTAGAATCTAAACGTCTGAATCTTGATTTTAAAGCCATTTCTCAAAGCACTGCTGTCGTTAGTCACTACTACAAGCAGAATGACTAGTACACAATTTTCTAAAATCAGAGGATGCATGAATAAGGATGTCATTTTCAATATGACAAACATATCTTCTTTTTCTTTCTTTTTGTTTTTGGTACTGGGATTGAAGTCCTGTCCTTGCACTTGTGAGGCAGGTGCCAGCAGCACTGAGCTAATCTCCAGCCCCAAAAACTTATCTTCTTGATTTGCACATTAGTTGCCCTTGAAGACATCTATATTTACTCACAGATTAACGTGCTACATGCCTACAAGGTGAAATATCAATGTCTAAACATCTGTGCCTGGAAATTGCCACTATCATATTTTATAAGGAAAAAGAGCAGCAGAAGAAAAATATTAAAAATTACACAATTTTTGATTCAAAAACAGACTAAATTATTTCCTATTTTTTTAAAAAAAGAACTGTATAAACAAGTGTAAATGTTTAGCACCACTGTGATATTAATTGCCTGCAGCCCTCTCGCTTCTGCGTGATTCTAACAGCAGCACTTTTCACCTCTTTGTTTCTGAGACTGTAGATGAGAGGGTTCAGCATGGGGATCACAATTGTGTAAAACACAGAAGCCACCTGATCCCTTCCCAATGAGTAGGACGTCTTCGGTTTTAGGTAAGTAAAGATGATAGTGCTGTAGAAGATGGTGACACCCAGCAGATGGGAGGCACAGGTGGAGAAGGCTTTTTTCTTTCCAGCAGTAGAGTTTATTTTCATGATAGTGGAGAGGATGGACACATAGGATCCAGATATGGTGAACAGGGACATTACTACAGTGAAGCCAGCACAAATGAATATAACGAGTTCTACCTCAAATGTGTCACTGCAGGACAGAACTAAAATTGGGGATGTGTCACAGAAGAAGTGCTGGATGACATTAGACTTGCAGAAGTTCAATCTGCTTATAGAAAGCACATTTGCAGTGGAATCTACAAAGCCAATAGCATAGGAACCAGAGAGCAGGGCATAGCACAGTCTTGTGGACATAATGACTTCATAGCGCAGAGGGTTGCAGATAGCTACGTAGCGATCATAAGCCATGGAGGAGAGAATAAAGCATTCAGTGCTGGCCAAAAGGATAAAAAAGAACAACTGGGTGAAGCAGCCCAGGAAGGAGATGCTCCTGGTGGAAGTCAGTAAGTTCTGTAAGGTTTTAGGGGTGACGACATTTGAGTAGCTGAGGTCGAGAAATGACAGGTGAGTGAGGAAAAAGTACATGGGGGTGTGGAGCTGGGGATCCAGGCGGATGATCAATATCATCCCCGCATTCCCCAGCACGGTGATCAGGTAAATCAGGAGGAAGAGCACGGACAGGACCAGCTGTGTCTCTGTAGAATCTGTCATCTCCATGAGGATGAAGTCGGCCACACTGGTGGAGTTCCTTCTACCCATGGTGCAACGTTTTAAACTATTTAGAAATCAAAGTAAATACTTACTTTGAGTGACTGAAAACAGGTATCATTTGTATGAGTGGCCCAGAACTAATCTTAATTATTTTGCACTTACTGGGGATTGACAAATACTTGCTGAATATGAACAAAAAAATTCAAATGTCAGATAGAGAAGGAAATGATATGAATTAAAATTTGCTTCTAACATAATAAAATCTTATGTCCTACAGATCAGCTCTAATATGATACATCATGTTTTCTTCATAACACATTTAATCCACACATAAGTTTTTTGTCACGGTCGCTGTTATCCACGGATTATAAGATTACAGGAAGGGCACTGTAGAGAACTTGTGAAATCAGGGCAGTTATTTCTTACCACTGGAATTCTTCTAAGATATTTTCCTCCTGAGAGAATGCTAAAAATTCACTATTCCTCTTCATAACTTTTTCTTTTTTTTGCAAACTTGAGCAGGATATGGAATAAAGTATATGGAAAATAAGTTCAGTTTACTTTTTATTCTCATTTGGTTCTCAAAGCTCTGGGTCATTAATTACAAATCAATGTCAGATGCTTGGAAACTTAGGTGAGGTCCTCTAAGATTATACACTGCATAGGAACTAGAAGTGCTGAATATGTCTATCAAATCTTAGAGGGTAAAATAACATTTTGAGCATTAAGATATTTTTAAACATAGGTTGCTACTCCACATTCCTGAGGCAGCCTGTTTATGCCTTTGGCCTTAGGAAGCTACTTTTCCCTAACATAGCATAAAAACCCTAAGTTTCCAGGGTACATTTTTCAGTGCTTATTCCAACTCTATTGTCTATCTCTTCCTGCTTAGAATACACTACTATTACTTAGATAAGCTTTAGATGTATGAATATGCATATTCTTATGATAAAATCCCAATTTTATTGTATCTTTTCTAAAAGATATAATACTGATAACTAGTGTGAGGATCTGAGACATTCCATGATGTTTCTTTTTCTTGCTATAAATTTTTATATTCTTTTGAAATAAGTGATGGTTATATTTTTGTGGATTTTGATTCTGAGGTAAATTAAATCACCCTAGGAGATATGATTTTCCTTTGTCATTAATTGTTAAATAGTTTAAGTTAATACTTAGCCCTAAGATAGTCTTGGTGTTGGGACAAATTCAATTTTTAATCAATGGGATTTTTTGATGATAGACTGCTTCTCCAAAATTTTTGCACTCAGAGCTGAAATATTAAATTACTGTCCTCAGATCAGACTGAGAATTGATGTTGTCAGAAAATTATCAGATGGTTTTGAAAATCATGTGCAGATCCAGGCATCAGGAAACCAAGGTCTGAATTACACTGACTTTTCAAAATGACATCTCTTCAAAATATTACATTTTCAAAATATGCACATTGACTGAAGATTTTTAAACCAACAACTCTATATTCTTGCTTCACAGAGCTTACCATTACTCATAGTAAGGGCTAAATGATATTTGAGTGCAAGTTTTTTGATGAAATACCAAATTTTTTGTAGGATCTAATCCACCCCAATGTGAAGAATGATACTTACTGTAACACAAACTTGCTGAAAAATAAACCTTCTTTTAGGATTAACTGGGTAGAAAGTGTTCAACCTCAAGTTAGTCTGAAAAATAAAAAATGAAAACCATATAAGAAGCTGAAAATTTCTCTGACATATTTGAATTTCTTGATATAACTTATTGTTATGATTCCGTGAATTCATTTTTAATGAGATAAATTTTATCACAGTAGAAAAGTTTTTTTTCAGGGCCTGGCCACATGGAGTCTTCACCAGGAAGTTGTGTCTGGAAAGAATAGAGGAAGAAACAGTGAACATCCAGCGAAGAGTGTGCACCTTCCCTCCCACCTGGTGCTCTCAGGGCGCCTCATTTAATGGGCGCTCAGAACCCTGGATCCTGTGGTCATCCTCAGGGCGCAGTTTCCTAGGAACCATTACTTGGCCTGATTCCAAGGACTCAAGTTCAAGGACCAAGTACACAAAAGACTTTGCCTATTCCATCAGGAGACACACGGTGAAAGCCAAAATCACTTCATGTTCTTTTGAGATTCTCTAAACTGTGGCTGAATTTCATTTTTACTTCTCAAATTGACACACAACTACACTAATTTGCAAGGAATAAGGTTTACATTCAGGAAGTTCTTGGATGAGACTGAGGGACAGCACATTTCCAGAGACATATTTTCTTAATGACAGACTATAAAGAATGGAACATTACAGTTTTTACCAGAAAACATTTTATATTTAGAGTATGACATGATGCTAGAAGTAAGGCATATTCATTAGAAAAAAAATAAAAAACAAAAAATTCATTGATGAAAATGAAGAAATGCATAACTCGTTAACATTTTGTTTACATAATAATCATTTTCCCAAATTATTTTTGTGCCCATGATGCTCATTTAGATGTGTACTTATAACTCTATAAAATTCTTATAATACTGTGTATTCAGTCTCATTGTAATATTGTAAGAAAGCAGTATAATCTAAAATGATATATGTTAGGTCAGCCTTTTATTAACTAACACCTCCATGTGCATCATATTCTGTGGTGCCTCATTCTTCAGGGAGTGAACTATCTGTTCACAGTGGTAAATGCACATTCTGAGACCCCACAGGAACGGAGGGAACCTGCACTCCGATTGGCCAGTGTCACCTGCTTCAACTGCAATCTATACCTTTGGAATGTGCTTTCCTGTTTTGTGTCACTTGATTTTGTTTTCATTTTAAAAAAGTAAAATTACTAGGAGGACAAAATCAGCAGTGAATCTAACATAAATTTTGTAATAAATTCAGTGGACAAACAGGTGCTTTGGTTATACAAAATCAAGTCAAAATTTTGAAAATCTAAAAATAAATTAAAATATGATAATACATCTGACATATTTCAACATCTCAGATCATAATATTTTAAAAAGAGTTTTCTGCAAGAAAGAAAGAACCTTACTGTACAATATTTAATTAATTAGTATTTCCATAGTTGGTAAAGTTGTTAAGTATTTTTTTAGAAACATTGGACATTTCTACTTCTCTTTTTAAGAATTATCTGCCCAATTTATTCACCCTTTTATTTTATGGAATTTTTCTTTTACTCGTGTTAATTGTTTAGATAAGACATAATTATCTTCTACCAGAAGAGTAGCCAGCTCTGATTTCCTTCTATTCCATGGGTTGCTTCTTCAGTTGTTTGATTGTTTGCTTTGCTGATCAGAATTTTTTAATTTGATATAGTCCCATTTGGCGATTCCTTATGTTACTTCCTGATGCTTTTGGGTGCTATTTAGAAATTCTGTGTTTGTGCCTACAATTTCTAGGGTTTCCTATAAGGTTTTTCCCATCAATTATCAAGTTTCCAGATTTATATCTAATCTCTGATCATTTTTTATTTTAGTGCAGGTTGAGAAAAAGAGATCCTATCTCTACCTTCTGCATGTGGATATCCAAGTAACCAATGGCTTTTATTAAAGAGGCTGTCATTTTCCCAGAATAAGCTTTTGCTCCCTTTGTGAATAAACATGTGTTGGGCAATGCATGTTATTGTTTCCGTGTTTTCTGTCTTATTCTACTGTTGTTCGTATTTGTTGATGTGTCAGTGTTAAATATGTGTGTTGTTTTTGTTTTGTTTTTTTTCACCATAGCATTGCATTTTAATTTGAAATGTAGTAGTGTAATGGCTTCCAAATTATTCTTTTGGCTAGGAATATTCAGAATTTCTGTATCTTTTGAGTTTCCAGATGATTTCAGAGCTGCCTTTTCTAGAAGGGTAAAGAGTGATGGTGGTATTTTAGTAGAAATTAAATTAAATCTAAATATTACTTTGATTATGTGGTGTTTTTAACAATGTAAAATTATGTTGATCCATAATTAAGTTCACTTCCAATATCTTTTTCAATTTTTAAAGTTTTCCCCAATTTTCACTTTTGTGTGTTTATTGGTACATATCTATAGCACATAACGACTACCTTAATTTCAGGAAACTGTTCCATATACCCCACGTTTCATGATTCTTTGTGTCCACTCCTCTACAGCTCATCTCTACATATCTTCAATTTCATCTCTCACATGTATGTATTTCTTTCCATCCATTTCTCTTAAATGTGATTACTGTTTGTTATTCTAGAAAATTGAGTTACATCATTAGGTTATTTATGATCACTTCTCTCTAACACAGGCACAGCTCTAAATTTTCTTCTGAACTATTGTCATTGTGTCCTTCAGATTCTGATGTATAGCATTTCTCACTTGATTGTAGGAATTTCTAAATTTCTCCTTTTATAACTTCAGGGACCAATTGATTATTCAATAGTGTAATTTTCATGTGATGTGCTAGTCTTTTTCTGTGGTTTCTTTGCTGTGCTTTATAGATTCATCATATTGTGATATTTTAGGGCACCTGAGTTTATTATAATATATAAAGTTCAACAACACTTCCTTTATGAACTTAAAATAATGTCTACTTTGGAGAAATATCCATGGGATGCTAAAATGAATATGTACTATTCTGTGTTTAAGTAAAAATTTCAGTAGGATTCTGTCAAGTCTAACTCTAATTCTTTTGATTGTTTTTATTCTAATTGACCATCTGTTGGTGAGAGAAGGATATAAAGAAACCCACAATTCACTGTGTTGAATTCTATGTGACCTTTTATGTCAATAAGGGCTTTCATGAAACCAGCAACATCAGAGTTGGGTACATACATGATCACGGTGGTTGTCTCTTGGTAAGTTGCTCCCTTTGCCAACAGGTGGTGGCCTTCTTTGTCTTACTGAATAATTCCTCCTGTTTTTCACCTTATGAAATAAAGTAAATCAGATTTAACTTATTTAAAATTAAAGAAATTTTTAACTTGAATGTTGTCTACAAAGGCAAACATTCCATTGATGGGTTTGCCAAGAAGAACTGATAGGATGTATCTTATAAATCATGAAAAAATAAATAAATGAGGATAAGATAAAACTAGGCCTTAAAAATGCCTGGAGATTGGAGAGTGGAGACTTGAAATAGTCCATAAATACATGATATTACTAAGACCTTAAGTGATGAGAGAAGAGCCCTAATAATATATCAAGAAAAAAATATTTATTAAATTCTTAACCCTAATCATGAAAAGCACAAACAGAAATATCTAAAAATATTAATGTTTAGAAAAGACTCATAACAAAGGTAAATAAAATATGATTTTAAGCAATATTGATGTACTACTGGAAAATATTTTGTCATTGATTTGAAAATGTTACTGCTCTAAATTATTAAAACATTGATAAATCTTAATTCTTAACCAAGTTGTTGCACTTTAGACACTTAAAATGATGAAGAATTTTTTACATAAAATAACTTCAATTTCAAAAGGAGATATTTTTATAATCACATTTGGATTAAAGCAATCCATGACAAATATATGTGTATGTATGTATCTGTATATATATATAGTACTGGCAATTGAACTCTCATCCTTTTAGTTGTGAGGCAGGTTCTGGAATCACTGAGCTAAATCCACAGCCCATGTACTAATTTTTATACAAGTTTAAATAAAACTTCGTACTTGGGAAATGGAACTGTGAATTATCAAATAACCCTAAAATGTAAAAGAGAAATTATAAAGTGACATTATAAGTACAGAGACCAAATATACTAAAAAGTAAGGTGATTTTTATCCCTCTTCTTGATCTAAATTTATGGACTGCCACATATTATAAATTCATTGTCAATTCCTTTGCAACAAGTATTTTTTTTAAAGTATAAGACACAACATGATAATCATTAATTTATTTTCACAGTATACCTTACATCTATAGACATCAGGAGAAAGGCAAAGAGTCCAGTGGCTGAAGCTCCTTCTCCTGTCACAGAAAGGTTTGGCCTCCACGTGGCTCCCAGGAGCACACCTCACAGCTGTTACTGCTACTGATCTTCAAACTGATAAATGCACTACATTTCAGGTTCAGAGCACTGGACAATGAAAGGCATATTTTTTCCTCATATACTGAGTACATAGTAATCTTACATGTTTTAATTACACACTTTATTAGATAGTTAATTTTAAATTCAATAAAGTGGCAAAAATTAAACAAGAAATGACAGGAATTATGTGAAATGTATATAGATGTATATTAATACCATCAATCTAGGAAAACACGCACAGAGCAGGCAACAATAGATAGTGTTTCTCGTTTATATATAATCTTCATTCATCAAATTCTGTTCCACATTAAGATGTATCACTTTCCTGTGACTTGACTACTTCAACATATTACCTATCCTAACGTGCAAAGTGCTGCCCTGTTTTTTTTAGCTGTTTATTATTTCAAATTAAAAGAAATAAAAGAGACTTTTAAAACATAAAGCAACATTGTTCAGAAATATGTAGTATTTACCAATTCAAAATATTACAAGACTTCTGGTGATAATAGCCAGAAATTATTTTATTGTCCCGATAATTTATGTCCATTTTCTGATGAAAGAGGCAGGAAATTATCATATACCCTGCAGGCATATAGAACCTTATTATTTCAGTGGATTCGTGTTTGTAAAATGCTAGATAAGCACTAAATCGACAATCTAAATGCAGTAATCTTAACTTGAAAGCATCTGTCCAAAAATTTGCTGCTGAAAGTCACTATTAAAAAAATGACATTTAAAATGAAAAGCTTTTTCATTAAAAACTACTTTAAAATTTATGTTTGCAGAAATATTATAGTGATATAATTTTTTAAATTACAAAGGTTTTACTTTTTAATATAAAAGTTTTTTAACAGAACAGATTTTTTTAATATCTTGGATTTAATACTTAATTGATAACTCTAAGTCATAATATAAATATGTAAGTGCCAGTATCTCCAAATAATGTTCAAGATCATGTTTGTTAAGTAAAGAGCAGCTGGAAAGTTAAAAAAAAAAAAGTAAAAATGTTAGAAAAGTGTAAATGCCTAGCATCTCTAGTATTTTAATTTTCTAGAACCCTCTCTCTTTTGCAGGACTCTCAGGGCAGCGCTCTTCACCTCTTTGTTTCTGAGACTGTAGATGAGAGGGTTCAGCATGGGGATCACAATCGTGTAAAACACAGAAGCCACCTGATCCCTGCCCAAGGAGTAGGACGTCTTCGGTTTTAGGTAAGTAAAGATCATAGTGCTGTAGAAGATGGTGACTCCCAGGAGGTGGGAGGCACAGGTGGAGAAGGCTTTCTTCTTCCCAGCAGTGGAATTAATTTTCAGGATTGTGGAGAGGATGAACAGATAGGATCCAGATATGGTGCTCAGGGACAGCACTAAATTGGATCCAGCACAAATGAAAATTATGATTTCTATCTCAGAAGTGTCACTGCAGGACAGGGCTATAATTGGGGATGTGTCACAAAAGAAGTGCTGGATGACATTAGAGTTGCAGAAGTCCAGTCTGCTCATGGAAATCGCATTGACAGTGGAATCAACGAGGCCAATCATATAGGAGCCAGTGAGCAGGGCACGGCACAATCTTGTGGACATAATGACTGGATAGTGCAGGGGCCTACAGATAGCTACATAGCGATCATAGGCCATGGAGGAGAGAAGGTAACATTCTGAAATAGCAAAAATGCTAAAGAGGGACATCTGTGTGAAGCAACCCAGGAAGGAGATGCTCTTGGTGGAAGTCAGTAAGTTCTGTAAGGTTTTAGGGGAGATGACGCTTGAGTAGCTGAGGTCGAGAAATGACAGGTGAGTGAGGAAAAAGTACATGGGGGTTTGCAGCTGGGGATCCAGGTGGATGATCAATATCATCCCTGAGTTACCCAGCACCGTGATCAGGTAAATCAGGAGGAAGAGCACGGAGAGGACCAGCTGTGTCTCTGCAGATTCCGTCAGCCCCATGAGGATGAAGCCAGGCACACTGGTGGAGTTCCATCTCCCCATGGTATCCTGCTGCATTTATCTGTAAAATAAATTTTTAAAATTACACTGTCTCCAAAACTGTTTTTGTTCATGCAAATTGCCCAATGTTTTCCATACTATTCCTAGAAATTGATGAAAGTCATTCTGCAGAAATGTGAAAAATACAATTGCCATGTATAGATATGACTACAAAATGACATTTGTTTCTGATATATTAATAGATTACATTCTGTTTTTAGCAAGAAAGTGATACTACTACTAATTATAGTACTCCAGACTCATTTCATTATTACACATTCAATTTCAAAGACAAGATTTTAAGGAATCTAATCGATATAAGGGTAAGGAAATTACTTATTTTTAAAAGAGTAGTTACATATTCACATTGATTCTACCTAGATATTTTGATTTCAAAAAACAGACTTTCAATACTTTGTTCCTGATCAGAATTTGTTTTACCAATCCTAAATGAGGATATATGTGTCATTATTACACATTCAATTTCAAAGACAAGATTTTAAGGAATCTAATCGATATAAGGGTAAGGAAATTACTTATTTTTAAAAGAGTAGTTACATATTCACATTGATTCTACCTAGATATTTTGATTTCAAAAAACAGACTTTCAATACTTTGTTCCTGATCAGAATTTGTTTTACCAATCCTAAATGAGGATATATGTGTGTAAGGGATGCTAAAAATCACTTTTAGTGTATTATTAACTGTCCTTTTTTCCCCAATAACTTATTGTACCAATTAAAGTAATTTCTGTCTGGGTACTTAGGTGAACCTCATTAATATTAAATTATCGAAGTTATGGTAACTGTGCAAAAAATTAAACTATAAAATTTTTGTTTTTAAAAATAGGCTCTTTCTCCAGCTTCCCCAGGCCAAGAGAGGAATACTCTTCCTGTTCTCCGCTAAATAACTGCACACAGAATTAATACTGAGTCTCAGAAACATCATGACTCCCTAAAAAGAATATTCAGATATCACCCGAGGAGATCAATGTCTGCTTTAACTTGGAAAAGGGAAAGAGGAAGCTTAGAGTCACCTGGACATAGAAGACCTAGCAGAAATTAACAAAGGGGAAAAGATTTCGGGGGAGAAGTGGCTTCTGTTATCCTGTGGACCAAATACAACCTTTTCTTTCCACCAAAATAACTTTTCTCCAACTTTTTTTGAGGCAGCCAGATAAGACATTCAGCACTGGTAAAAATATATTTTTTAATTTGCACATCCACAGTTAATTTCCTTCAAAACATTATATTTTCTGACTGTCTGTATTGCTTGAATACTTGGATTTCACATACACTATATTCATTTTAACGTCAAATCTTAACATTACGTATGATGAGGCCAAAATGCTCTATGTGCACATTTTGAAATAAAATCCACCCCCAAAATAAAATAAAATAAAATAAAATTCCCTTTATGTTTTGTAGTAAAATCGCCTTCTATTCTCAGGGTGGTACTTACTGTGCCCAAAAGATGATGAAAAAACTTTCTTTCGATGTTGTTTGTTTATAAATATGTCAAGCACAAAATAGTCTCAGATATAAAACAGGAAACCATATAATGAACTGGAAATTATTGTAATCTGTTTTTGTTTTTCTAGGGGTAATTTATCTTTAAACATTTCTGCATACATATTTTTCTGGCTTAACCGTATCACCCTAGAAATATTGTTCAAGCCTTGATTAAATGGAAATGTCACCCCAGTTTCCTCTGAGAAGAGTCTGAGGAGGAGCTGTGAATGGAGACAGAGCAGTGTGTGCCTCTCCTCCCAGTCAGCCTCATATATGGTGCATTTAGGACACTATAGCCTTTGCTCATCCTCGGGGAGCAATTTCCAGGGAAGATTCCTTCACCAGATTCCCAGGAGAAAGTTTGAAGGATTTAATGAACACGAATTTTTTCTTTTCCCTTAGAAATCTCACATTTAGAACATAAACACTACAACTTCTCTTGTGGTGGTACAAGATTCTGCTGAACTTCATTCATTTATTTTTTAAATTGACACACATTCATATAAATTTGCCAGGAATAATTTTTACATTTGAGTGAGATTTTTGGACTGTAAATTTAGTGAAGAAATTTCCTGAGTCATACTTTCTTTACAATTGACATTATGATTGATGAAACAATAAAATTTTTTGCCTGGAAATGTTTTATACTGAAATTAATGACCTGGCCATAGGCAAAGCACATTCATTAGAAAAAAAAACTACAAGATATTAAAATGCAAAGAAGAAAATAATGCAATTCAAGAGGTTACATTTTGCTTACATAATTGTAATTTCCTCCAATTTTTCAGCCTTGTGACAGAAAGCTAATTTGGATATGTATTTTTAAGTTTACATAACAAATATAAAGCAGTACATTGAGCATTGTTTCCTAATTTTATAATTCAATGCATTCTGCCAGGACTTGTTACCAAGGAGCCCCTCTCACCTCCTGCATTGGACAGGACTCCAGTCTTCACTAACAGGACTTAGAGGATAAATAAGCATCCTCATACCCCACAGGAATTTGGCAGAATCTGCATTCTAGTTTGCCTGGCTGCCTGCTGAATCTAAACTGTAGTAAAATAATTTATCATTTTGGTGTATTCCGTTTTTTAAATTTTGTGACAGAAAAATAAGCAGAAAGACACAAAAAGCACAGGTATTATCATATATTTGGCAATGATTATTCAGAAAATGCCTGCTTTATTACCTTTGGTCACATAAGGTATTGTCTTGTGAAGAAAAACAAACATTATAACATACTATTAAAGCTGAAATATTTTATTAAGGGTTAATTGAGGGTTAAGGTTAGTATCTTGTTGCAGAACTTTCCATGAGGTTGAATTCTTAGCCCTGCTTTAGGAAGACACAGTAATCATTAGTAATGTCAATATCTAAAGAACAAATCATTCACCAACATATACTCTATAATGTGTTTGACAAATTTCCAACTTTTTTCCTAATTTTGGGTTAGAAAGGAGGAGGGAGGAGTCAGGTGGGATAAGCTAGGGGCGAAAGACCTTAATGAGAACAATGACATATAGGAAGGAAAGAGGGATGGAGGGGAGGCTCAGTAGGGGTGGGAGGAGGAGGAATAAAGAAGAGAAAGAAGGAATATAAATGAAAAGAGAAGGAAGTAGGGAGAATGGATGCATTTGAAGAATTGGCAGACGTGTGTGCTAGAATGTTAGAAAGCCTGTGAAACAACCCTGGCAGGAGAGAACCTAACAAAACAGGGTGAGAGGGACACACAGTATCATAACGCTTACCAAATCACACACAAGGTGATTCTGCCTCCTTGTGAAGGCTTCTGGACTGAAACCAGAGTTTCCTGTAGAACTCCACTGTGGGACAGCAACATGAGAAATACGTTGTCTTTCACTCTGTTCCTCCTCAGCCTTTGTCCAGGTGGGAGCAGCCATTTCTGGAACCCGATTCAAAGTATTATATACTTGGGTACACTTGTGTTTGGTGCATATATATGATTGTCATCTCTTTCTCTCGAATTTTTCCCTTTATAACAATGTAGTGTTCTTCTTTGTCCTTCTTAATTACTGTTGATTTGAAATCCATTTGATAGAGTAGCTACTCCTGCTGTTTTTCAGGTTCCTATTACATGGAATATTGATTTCCACCTATTAACTTTCAGTCTATGATGTTGTTTGAATTAAGTGTGCTTCTTTTAGGCAGCATATTGTTGGATCTTCCTTCTTATCACATTCTGCCAGTCTATTTCTTTTGATTGGTAGATTGAGATCATTAACATTAATGGTTATAATTGAAACATATTGACTTCTCCTTGATACGACTTTTTCTTTTTGTGGAATTCTCCCCCTTTGCATTTAATTTATTTTCTTGCCTGATGTGTTCAGCCTTTTGGGCTTCTTGGGATGGTGATCATCATTGTCTTTTCCTAGAATACTGTTTCAAAAATTTTTGGAGTGCTTGTTTTGTATTCATGAAGTTTGTAAGGTGTTCTTTCTCATGAAAGTATCTTATTTCTCCATTTATTTTGAGAGACATTTTTGCAGGGTACATCAATCTGTGTTGGAGGCTCTTTTCTTTTAGGGCTTGAAATATGTCACTGGAGCCTCTTTTGGATGAGGGTTTGTGTTGAGAGATCTGCTGTGAGTCAGAGGGGTTCTCCTTTGCATGTGATTGCTTTCTTTTCTCTAACTGCTTATAGAGTTTGTTTTTCTGTTGAATTTCTGGAATCTTAACTATTATATGCCAGGTATAGTTTTTGTTTGTTTGTTTGTTTCTGTTTTTTAATCATGGCCAGGTGGACTGTTGTATGCCTCACCTCTCTGTATGTAATTTTCCTTTCCCCTGCTTTGGAAGTTTTCACCCATAATTTTTGTGAACAGTTTTTTATCATTTGCAGACTCCCCTTTTCCTTCATTGACTCTGATCAGTCTTATGTTACTCTTTGAATCATCCAGCAGCTTCTGGACTCATTTCTCATGGTCTGTTAGTATTCTTAAGAAATTTTTCTTTCCCTGGTCACTGATTGAAATACTACCTTATGTATATGAAATTTTGTCCTCACATGGGGAAATTATGCTGTATAACCTTTCAATGGAGTACTGCCCTATATACTGAATCACTAACTAGACCTTGTATATAAAATTCCTCCTAACCAACCTATAAATTCCATATTAAGGCCTTGATAAAGACAAGCTGGCCCACTTAGGAATGTGCATGGAGACAGTGGGACCTCAGGGTAGGGTTCAGGGCCTGGGACCCCCTCTGTGCCAGTCCAGAGAACCAGCCAGATTGTGACAAGTGCCAGGTATCATTTTGATTAAAGAAAGCTGAAGACAAAGTTCACAGGTGTTAGCCTTTCCAAATCCCCCTCCGTACACCTCACAGGGTAGCTTTCTGTGTTTTTGTTTGTTTGTTACCGAGGATTGAACTCGGGTCCTTGTGCTCGCAAGGCAGGCCACCGAACCGCTGAGCTAAATCCCCATCCCCTGTTTTTCCTTTTAAACTTTGTTCCCTTAGCTCCTTGTG